TGATGGCATTAGAGAAGTTTGAGTGAGAAAAGAGGCATTTGAGATGGACAATGAAACATGAGAAGGTTTCTAACAGACAGAGTTGGGTGATAGGTAAGGACATTTCAAGCTAAAGAGTTTGCTCGGAAAAAAAAAAAAATGAGTCTGCTTGAATCCTTTCTATAAAATTGTATGTCCCAACCATGGTGTTTGTCTTCTCTGATTCCTACCTCCCACCGTAACCAACTCCAAGCTCCCAGAATGAAACCCTTACCTTTTAGTTTCAAGTTTACGTCTTTAGCTTAAGTTTTCTTAGCTCTCATAAAATACATGTTTAAGGGGTGCCTGAGTGGCTCAGTCAGTGAAGTGTCTGCCTTCAGCACTGGTCATGGTCCTGGGGTCCTGAGATTGAGCCCTGCCCTGGGCTCCCTGCTCAGAGGGGAGCCTGCTTCTCCCTCTTTCCTGACCCCCCCCACGCTCCTGCTCTCTCTCTCTCTCTCTCCCTCAAATAAATAAATTCTTTAAAATACATATATGTTTATACATAAATATATCAGGGACAGTATTTGCTAAAGGAACCCCCAACGCTGCTGGTGTTGATTTGCATATGCTGATTCAGTGAAATGCTTTATGAGTTACTCTGGCCGGAAGTTTAAAGATAACAGTGTTTAGGGCTTACAGTACATTAAGTAGAGTTACAGTATCATTTTATCTAACTATTCACATTTATCTAACTATTCACATTCTATCTAACATTCACTCTAACCAAACCCCGAAAACTAATAGGAACCATACTCTGTCCCTCATTCAAATATTTTACTTAACAGTCTCAGATTTGTTCTCGGCAGTATGCTGAACTTACTGTTTTCCATTATTCAAAGTGGGATTCACTGCTTGGGGGAGGGGTGCCATACCACTTCTATTTCTATTGCCTTTCACTGAATAGTCACTGCAGCAGTCAGCTCTTGCTAAGTCAGTCTTTTGGAACAAACACACCTAGATCTCAGTTTACTTCTTGTGCACATTACATGTCAGCACCTGTGTCTGGCTCAGGTGCTGCCCCATGTGACTTCTCATTCTACAACCCAGGCAGATGGACCAACCCCCATTTGCGACGTGTCATACTCCTCCTGGAGAGAAAGAGGAAGCATACTAGTGGGAAACACCAATGACTTTTTTTTTTTAAGATAAATTTATTTATTTATTTATTTATTTATTTGAGAGAGAGAGAGAGAGAGCTCACACAGAGGGAGAGGGAGAAGCAGACTCCCTGCTGAGCAGGGAGCCCGATGCGGGGCTCGATCCCAGGCCCCTGGGACCATGACCTGAACTGAAGGCAGATGCTTAACTGACTGAGCCACCCGGGCGCCCCAGAAACACCAATGGCTCCTGTTGTCCTTTTGTCTCTCCCACTCATATCTCATTGACCCAAACAAAGTCCATGTTTTATAAACTTTGAGATTACAGTATGACAATACCTATGTGAAGAAAGAAGGAAAAACACATTACGAGATCATAGCCGAGCCTGAAAGTGTTTCTAGGAGGGTGCTGCAAGTCACATTGCAGTGGATAGGGCTGTCCTGTCCTGTAGAGGGGAGCAAATATTTGGGGGAAATATCTCAATCTACCACAGGCCTTCAGTGACTTTATCTTTTCACTTATGTATATCAATCTAATTTTTAGGTTTTTCCTTTTTTTTCTCTTTACGAATGTGTTTTGCTAACTGTAAGCTAATAATGGCAACCCATAGGCTAGTCTTTTTAAAAGAGAGCTCTGTCTCCATTTCAGGATGAGCTTCACTGTGTCTTGTCCTGTGGAGCCAACCCTCTCACAGCTGGGGTTCATATCTGCATTTGGTCACTGTCTGGCATTTACAGGCAAACCCTCTTGTTCTGTGTCCTAAATTGAGATGAGGAGGGGGAGGGAAGGATTCAATATTCATATATTTACAAACCTTTATTGAATCTCCAGCCTGGGTCAGGCACTGTTGCAGATGCTAAGGATAGAGCGTTACACAAAGTCCTCTGTGAGCTTATGCTGAGTATACGAGCAAGATGATATTAGGTAGTGACAAGTGCTATGAAGACAGTAAGGAAAGGGGAGAAAGGCAAGGTAAGGTGACCAGAGGAGGTGACACTTGAGCGGAACCTTCATTAAAATGACAGCATGAGTCATGAGTATTTGGGAGGAAAGCATTCTCCTGTGTAGTGCAAAGCTCTTGAGGTGGGAATAAACTTGGCAGTATAGAGAAACCTCAAGGAAACCAGGGTACTGGAGCAGAGTGAGAAAGTGTGGTAGGAAAATAAAGTCACATAAGAACTTGTAGGGGTGGTAACTTAGGGTTTTATTCGAAATGTGTTCGGAGGCCATGAGTGGTTTTGAGCAGGAAGGTGACATGATCTCCTTGTTTCTAAATCAGAAACTGTTAGTATAGAGAATAGATCATAGCGGAAGTGGAAGCAGTTAGGAAGGTTCTATTTTTTACGGTTTTATTCAATACTAGGATATGATTGTTAACACCTCTGGTCCCGTGTGTAGTATTTTTTATTTTTTAAAGATTTATTTATTTTAGAGAGAGAGAGCATGAGGCGGGGAGGGGCAGAGGGAGAGGGAGAGAGAGAAGCTTTAGCAGACTCTGTGCTCAACATGGAGCGCCACTTGGGGCTCAATCTCTGAGAGATCAAGACCTAAGCCAAAACCAAGGGTTTGACCGTTTAACTGACTGCGCCACCCATGTGTCCCCCCCATGTGTAATATTTAAATCACATGGGTTTAGGAGATTCATGTCTGTAAGCCTTGTGGTTATAATACATTAATATTTGTCAGAGGGAAGGGGGAAAAACCTAGCACCAAATCACATTATTTTAGAAAAAGCAATTAAAAAAAGATTTAGACATTTGTTAGGAAAAATTTAAAATGAATAGCTTAGCTAAAAGAGAAAATACAAGGGCACCTGGGTGGCTCAGTTGGTTAGGCGTCCAACTCTTGATTTTCGCTCAGGTCACTATCTCAGGGTTATGAGTTCGAACCCCATGTGGGGCTCTGCGCTCAGCTCAGCGTGGAGCCTACCTGACATTCGCTCTCTCTCTCCCCCTCTGCACACACCCCCGCCCCATGCACACGTGGGCTCTCTCTCTTAAAAAAAAAAGAGAGAGAGAGAGAGAATACACTGAAGGTATTCTTAACACCCCATATTGGAAGATCAGGGAGGAAGCATGTCATAGATTATCAGACACTGAAATAAAAGCCCTTTATGCCTAAAAAAACAAACTATGTCTAGATGGCTGTAGTCTCTGCTTTGCTTGTTCAGGAACTCCATTTTGTCAGTTTTCCCAGGAGTGATGCCCCAGAGGTGTCACAGGAATTTGTAAGACACTTGCTGGTAAGCCAAAATACCTGTATATTAATTTATAATGAAATATAGAATTATCAAATGAATCCAGATCAAATGAATCTCTCATCGAGTCAGAGTACAATGTCCCTGGACTGTGTGAGACAATTTTTATGTACAGTGGACGTGGTCACAGATTATCTTACTTTCAAGAATTTGGTGAGATTTAGGACACACATCCATCTGATCATCAGTGGAAAGCATGCTAGAATTTGAATCAGGCTACCCATGCTTTATTTCTGGTTCTCCAATTATGGTTGTGTGACCTTGTGCAAATTACTTAACTTTTCTGGGTCTTAGTTTTCTAATCTGTAGAAATGGAAGATACAAATATATTCTCTGTAGGGTTATTTTGAGGATTGGATGAAATATTATAAATGAAGTGCTGCTGCAGTGTGTGGTGTGGATTAAGTACTCAATATTAGTTGAACCTGAATTCTATAGGAAGTTACTCTCAGAAAGCTGCTATATCCAAGACTATTGGAGAAATTGATAAACACTAAAAAGCTATAGTAAGTAAGATGCAGTGGCTACAAGATTTAATGCTGACAGTCTTCTAAGAGTATTTGCAACCTACGAGGGTTTTTTCCTTAAAAACTCCAAATCATCAGTGACTTTCATTTCAGGGATTAATGGGTACTAGTTGCATGAAATTCCAGGGTATTTACTTTACCTAGGGTGCTTCCTGCTCTGAAGGGAAGACTGTAAATGACAGGACAGGTTTAACCATTAGTCGGTTTCCACACCAGGAGTATCTAGAATGTAGGGCAAGAAGGCACTTCGTTCTCTTCCTGGTTGCATCCTTCAAAGAAGGTGTATCAAAGCTGAGCATGACTCCTGGGAATGGTTTAGTCATGAAGAGCAGGCCAGAAAAATTACCAATGAGTGACTAAGGGAATGAATGGAAGACCATTGCTGTTCCCTCTCCCCAGAGCCCAGCACAAAAGGCAGCCATTTCATAGGCCACCGTGGAACTGCCTTCTGACATATTCCCATTCTCCTCGTCTTCCCCTCCAGGCTACCCATCTGTCCCAGGCCCCTCCTTTGAGCAGCACTTCTGTTTTTTTCTCCCACTCATATTAACCCAGCTTCACCCCATGGTGTAGAGCTTGAGACTGGAATGGGAAGATGGGTTGGGGCCAAAACTGTCTGGGAATATAGGGGCTATCCCTGCGACATCGTCCCTGGTTGCATGCCCAAGGAAATCACTAGGGTCACTACGCCCTTGAGATGACATCTGCCTGATTTATGCCCCTTTTGTGCCTTCGTCTTTGTTTACTTTTCTATCAGCTTTTCATGACGAGTTTAAAGCCTCGATGTCATGTTCTTGCATTAGCAAGCAAGGGTACAGTACAAGTCCTGCCTTGTGTGCCTCTTTAGTAAAAGTCAAAGTAAGGAGGAAATCTATACCAAAGAGCCTCGAGTTGCTGTTTATAGCTCCCAAAGGGTCGAGGGTAGATATTTCCACTAGTAAAGATTGTTGTCCCTGGCTGGAGTAAGGCTTACTATCCTCAGCCGCTTCCAACATCCTGCAGATTGCAAAGACTAGGGTCAGCGCTGAGCGTCGCCCTCCTCGCTGGAACTACAACTCCCAGGATGCCCCCGCGACTTGGGAGTGCGCATGCGCGTCTGTGGCGGAGGGGGAACCAGCCGCACCGACCGAGCCGTCGGGTTGGGGCAGCCGCGGGCGAGTGGATCGAGCAACTCCCAACGAGACGCAGGCGGACGGGCGGGTGCTGGGAACCGAGGGACAGGTCATTCCCGCGGGTCTGTGAAGAAGGTCGGCGGCCCCAGCGGGTGCCAGTCAGGTAAGCCCAGCCGGGTGCTTTCCAGGAAGTCCGTCTGCGGGCGCAGGCTGGGAGGCGCACCGGCCATGGTGGCTGAGGTGGGAGAGGTTGCTGCCTTCCAGCCGCCGGCCCCGGTCTCCTAACTTACCGGTGTCTCTCGGGGAGCGGGGAGACGTTGGGGACTGCTTGGGGGAGGGGGCGAACGGGCCCGGGTGGGGGTCGTGGGGCGCGCTGGGCGTTGCCCGCGGTGGAGGCGCGCGAACCCTCGGTTGCTGATGAATCACTCGTGGGCCCGGCCTCCCCGGGTTCGGGACCGGCCCCTTCCCCTCCCGCCGGAGCCCGCGCCTGCCGAAGCTGTGCGAGGCGCAGCTGGGAGACGATCCTTTTAAAAAAGTTTTCTCCCCACGATTCCTTCAAAGGCTTCTGCTGGTTGGAAGTTAGAAAGAGAAGAAAGGGGGGGGAACCCCTTAGGTCACACCCTTTTGCGGGCGGGGAGAGGGGGATTAAAATCTGGCTTGTTTTGGATTTGCCCTTTTTGATCCGTATCCTCTGCCTTAAAATAAATTCCTGGCTCCTGTGCAGCACAGCTGGATTCAGCTGTGAAGTTTGTGTTGATTTGCTTTGAGGACGTGACTGGGTCGTTGTATTTTTGCTTATGAAGTTGGTGTGTTTCCTCTGCAAGCCTGCAGTCTAATTACAAACAAATGGGAAACAGCACCTTTTTTTTTTTTTAAATGTTTAGTTAAGAATCGCATTTCCAACTTGCCCTTGGCTTCTCTTAAAACCAAAAGTCATCTGGTAATGAACACTGCAGTAAAACTTATCCCAGGAGGTCATACTTGAACAGGAAATAAGCCTGTGGAGATGTAAATTAGTTATGTGCGGTCTCCCTTGGTTTGTAACATTTTCATGCAGCTCATTTTTCTTTTTCTGAGAATCCTTCAGATTAACTTTTTGGCAGATTAGGTTGATTAATTAATTGGCCTGTCAAAACAGTATATTAGGCTTAGAAAAATAGTTTAGTCCAGCCTCACTTTTGCTAGTCTCTTCCTTCTAGTCCTTGGCATCTTTTACCCTACCGCTTCTTTAAGAGTTCGGAAGTCATTATATTTAAAATCCCCTTTCTAACTCATTTCTAGGAAAGAAAGAAAAAGAGAATTAAAATGTAAGACCCAGTATATTCTAACTCTGTAAGCTTGCTTTCCATCTGGTGAGGATTTCTAGTTTGCTCATCTATTTTTTTTAAGTAATCTCTGCACCTCACCTGGGGCTCGAATTCACAACCCCGGGATCAAGAATCTCATGCTCTACCCAGCCAGCCAGGTGCCCAGAGTTTGTTACTAGTGACGCCTGGGTGGCTCAGTCAGTTAAGTGTCTGCCTTTGGCTAAGGTCATGGTCCTTGGGTCCTGGGATGAGCCCGCATTTGGGCTCCCTGCTCAGCGGGGGGTCTGCGTCTCCCTCTGCCTCTCCCTCTGCTTATGCTCTCTCTTCCTTGCTCAAATCTTTTTTAAACAATTTAAAACAAATAAAATGAGGTTATTAGACCAGATGACCCCAAGATTATTCTAGCCCTAAATATCTCTGATTTTTAAAATTCACTTATTTTATTCATTCAGGAAACATTGGCCACATTTGTCATTCTGAGACCTGTGGTAGGCCCGAAGGAACAAAAGTGATTTCCTGAGGATATTACTGTCCCAGTGCTCAATTTCTTTTAATCATATTTTTATGACTAATTCTAAAGTTTTGTGGTCTATCCTCCAGGCCAAATTATTCTCCAGTTAATAACTTCACCTAAAGGTAAATACATATATAAAGTTAAATACGTGCAGGTCACATCCCATTACAATGATCAGTTTCATTCTAATCAGATTTTTCAGGTCTCTGCTACTGGCCTATTTAAATAAAACACACGGTCAGTACAATAGAAAGGACTTGAAGGGTGTAGAGTGGTACTTCTCAGACTTCAGCATGCATAAATGTTGAAGAATTGAAGAAGGTCCTTAGAATCTGCATGTCACGTAAGGAATGCTGTAGTCTTTCACATTTTAAATATCAAGGGATGGGAGATGTTTGAAGGTGTTTATAATAACCGGTGCTGATTGCTGTGATATTAGATACATAGCAATGGCTTTTCCCAACTCTTAATTTTTAAAAATAGTCCCATTCGTTCCAACAGAAATAATTGCCTTCACAAGTTTTTTCTGGTCTTTCTCCTTTTTGTCTCCTCTCCTTACTTTTCCTTTCTCTTTGCTTTGTCCTCTCTGCTTTTTTCTCTCATCTTCTTCCACCTTCAACTGTTTTCATTCCTATTAATTCAGTAATTCACTAATTGAACACGTATGTGTTTTGCCCCATCCTGTACAAGGCACTATCATAGGCTCATGGTGAATACAGATGTATAAAACATGGTTTTTGTCCGGGAGCTTACTCCCTCTTATATTAGGCAAGTGTACTTGTTTATAGTTCAGAGCACTACTGTAAAAGCCATGTGTAGGGAATAAAAACCTGCAGTTGATATTCAGAAGGAGAGATCTTTTACAGTTGTGGAGGTGCGAAAAGATGGAGTCATCTTTTTTCCCCACTCACTGGTCATCACTGTCTCCCCCACCCCACCCCACCCCCGGCCCCCCAGGCTATACTCTCTGCTGTTTTGAGTATGTGACAAATCTACATCGGATATAGTACAATTTTATAAATTTATTTATTTGGAACCTGGGGTGAGCTGGCTATATGAAAATCAATTAGCAATATCATAGGGAGAGTGAGAGGCCATGGGGATAAAAATATACCTGGGGTAGAGACCAAAAGAGGAAGAGGAAAAAATGAAGAGAAAGACAAAAAGAAGACCTAGTAAAACAGAAGAAAATGGCTCCATGGGCTTTCAGATGTCAGTCTGATGTACTAATATATATTACTAATGTAATAAGTCTTGTTATTTAGGCTGTGTTGTTTTTTAAAGATCCAATTAGCTGGCAGACTATTCATCATGCTTTTCAATTGTTCTTAAATTTAAATATGTATGGGCTCTGTCTTAATTAAAATAGTTGAGGAGGGCATTATTTTCTAGGGTGTCGTAGTGGCTAAAGCAATATTGTTCTGTCAGTGACTTTCTTTGAAGACATTTGATTTATATGTCTTATTCTCATTTTTTTATAAAAAAAGATGTTATTCTTTTAAGTAATCCCTACGCCCAGTGGGGGGCCTGAACCTACAACCCTGAGATTGAGAGTCATGCTCCACCCATTGAGCCAGCGAGGTATCCCCACATATTCTCATTTTTATAGCAGATCCACACAACTATAAATCACAATTATAAAATCGTATTGAGAGGAAAAGGCTATAGAAAACAGAAGTCTACTGGACTTCTGACAGTCCATTAGGTACATATTGAAATTGTGAAGAATCAAACTAAATTTGCTATTTATGAAAAATTAAACATGAACACATATTCTAATATCTATGTAATCCATTAGGTTATTTGCGGTAATGAAGGAATAGAGATGTGAATAATTCAGAGTGGCAAATAATTGAAATTGTAGGTGTCTATTATGTCATATTCTAGAATTTCATTTGAAACAAAATGATTAACATATCTTGAAGCAAAGTGCTACTTTGTATTTTTATTGAGGTATAATTAATATTCAATAAAAAACATGTTAAATGTACAGTTCAAGGAGTTCTAACAACTTTATACACTGTAACTTCTACCAAAATAAGATCAAAAACATTTTTATCACTGTAAAAATTTCCCTCATGCCCCTTTCCAGTCATTTCCTCACCCACTGTCCTCCACTGGAGGCAACCACTTTCAGCTCTGTATTTCTGACACCATAGATTTGTTTTGCCTAGTCTTGGACTTTACATAAATGGAGTCCTACAGTAGTATATGCTTTTTTTGTGTTTGGCTTCTTTCATGTAATATGTCTTTGAGATCAGTGTTGTATCAGTGGTTGGTACTTCTTTTTTAAAAAGATTTTATTAGAGGGCACAAGCAGGGGGAGGGGCAGAGGGAGAGGGACAAGCTGACTCAGTGCAGGGCTTGGCAGGGGGCTCAAGGCTCAGCGAGCGGGAGGTTGGGGGGGTGCTCGATCCCAGGACCCTGACTGAGATCATGACCTGAGTCAAAGTCAGATGCTTAACAGACTGAGCCACCCAGGCGCCCCAGTTGGTACATTTTTATCGAGGAATAGTATTCCATTGAATTTAATATAGCCTAATTTCTTTATCTGTTTTATTTTTGATGGATGTTTGGGTTTTTTCCAGGATTGGGTTATTAGAAGTAAAGTTGCTATGAACATTTCCTTTACAAGTCTCTTGTGGGTAGATGTTTTCATTTTTCTTGATAAATACCTAGGAGTGGAATTACTGAGTCATAGGATAGATGTATGTTTAACTTTATTAAACTGCCACACAGTTCTCCAAAGTGGTTTGTATGAGTTCCAGTTGCTTCACATTTTTAATGTTGCCAAATTTTAGTGCTGTCAGTCTTTTTTTTTTTAGCCACATTAGAAGCTGTGAAATGGTACCTCATTATAGTTTTAATTTGTATTTTTTTTCTAAGATTTTATTTATTTGTCAGAGAAAGAGAGAGCGTGTGCAAGCACAAGCAGGGGGAGTGGCAGGCAGAAGGAGAGGGAGAAGCAGGCTCCCCACCAAGCTAGCAGCCCGATGCGGGACTCCCATCTCAGGACCCTGGAATCATAACCTGAGCTGAAGGCAGCCGCTTAACCGACTGAGCCACCCAGGTGTCCTTTAATTTGTATTTTTTTTTTGACAATTAAGGATGTTGAAAGCTTTCCTGTGTATTAATTGGCTTTTCTTGTAAAGTATCTGTTAAAGTTTTTGCCTGTTTTTTCACTGGATGGTTCCTGTTTTCATTGTTGTTTGTAGGAGTTCTTTATATATTTGTGAGTACAAGTCCTTTTCAGATATACAATATTTTTTACCCAGCCTGTGGCTTTTCTATTTATTTTCTTGATGATGTGGTGAGCAGAAATTTTTAATTTCTATTAAGTCC